GGTAAATTAGGATTGGATACTTAGTCACGTGCTTTATTTAATCAATGAATGGAAATATCACCATAATTATAATGCTTTTTTTTTCAGAAAAAATGATACTCATTAGCAATAAAAAGTTCTACTTTAATAAACATAACATATGGTTTACTCTTTAAACACCAAATATTAATGGACATAATTAAATATCTTACCTTACAAATAATACCAAGTCAGCAAAATGTCCAACATTAAATAACAAACCCAAGAATGTAATATTATGTTATTTCTCACTTTTACAAACCCTAATTTCTCAACATTATTAACATAAGTCATTGAAGACTAATTAATTTTGGAATCAAGGAACAAATTAATAATTTGGAATCTTCTACTTAAGAAAAACTGCATATTAAAAACCGTGGATAAATATAGGTCCGAATGAACAATATTGTATCAATCAGGGACTAGAGTAGATAACCAAACACACCAAAAAAAATTAAAATTACGTACAATGAAGGAAAACAATGTGAAATCTCTTCGTTTTTATCTTTTCACGCATTTTTCGTTCAATCTCCGTCGACCGACTACGTACAGAACTTTCCTACTCCTTTCCGAGGAAAAAAGGTTCAGTCAACATGGGGACCGATACAAACAGTGTGGCAACTGATACGCACGCATCAATTCATTAGTAGTGTCTGGGTTTGACCAGTCACATGCAGCCACCCACCCATCATTATAAACTACACCTTTAATTTTGCATGTGAACGACTCTTGTCTACGTCCTTTAATTAAACCTTTTAATGGCTTGTTTGGCAAAGGATCAATGAAGAGTGATTAAAGAGAAGGATTAACATAGTTAGCCCATTCAATAATCCGAATGACTAAATTATTAATCCGTTATATAAGATTTATTTTAGTCATTGTGATCAGTTTTAGTGTTTGAGAAAAACAATGATTTTGACTATTTTCTTTATAATTAGAAGGGTTAACTCTTAATCCTTCTAAATAGGAGTATTAGTAAACCCCTTATTTTGAGGGGTTAACTCATTTTAATCCCTCTAGAGGGGTTAGCTTAACCCTTCTATATTTTTTATGTTTGACAAATTATGGAGGGTTAACTCACTTCAACCATTGTATGGATCTTTTTATGTTTGGCGGGTTAAAAAGGGGTTAAGTCTCCTTAACCGCTCACTTAACCCTTTACTAAACGGTACCTTAATTAATTACTAGCTAACAACATACATAGTAATTAATTAATTACTAGCTAACAACATACATAGTAATTAATTAATTACTAGCTAACAACATACATAGTAATTAATTATTTTTAATTAAAATCTTACCCCCATCGTGACCACTATAAGAAGCCAACACACAACCCTCAAAGAGATAAATTAAACAGCAGCTATGGCTTCTCTCTGTTCCCTCCCCCACCTCCTCCTCCTCCTCCTCCTCTTCTTCTCCGTCGACGCCAAAATCCACCACCACCGATGGACCGATGGGAGATTGCTTACAAATTCAAGTCCCCCGATTGCTTTCAGAAGCTTGCGATCACGATCAACGGCGAGTCCCCCGGCCCCACAATCTACGCTCAGCAGGGCGACACGGTCGTCGTTGAGGTCAAGAACGGGCTCCTTACTGAGAATACCGCCGTTCACTGGCACGGCATTCGTCAGGCAATAGTCGCCGTCTTCTTTTTTTTTCTTTTTTTTTCAGTCATTATCTTTTTAATAATGAAACAGGGACACCTTTATTAAAAACTTGTTTAATTTCCTCTTGACAGATCGGCACGCCATGGAGTGATGGGACGGAGGGGGTCACCCAATGCCCGATCACACCCGGAGACACCTTTACGTACAAGTTCGTAGTTGATAGGGTAAGTGTACTAGCTAGCACGTATATGTATAAATTTTACTCACTCGGTCCAATTAATGGAGACGGAAATTAAGACTCTTGGACTAATTAAAATCTCGAATGATATTTAATTTGGATACGTTGGATCAGCCCGGAACCTACATCTACCATGCGCATTACGGTATGCAAAGGTCCGCGGGGCTCTACGGTATGA